CCGTCCATCCCTGCATGGCTTGTTGTTGTCACAATAGATGTGCATTCATATTTTTTATCTTTCAACATGTTAGTTATGGTGAAACCTTAATATTTGTCTTTTCATTTTAATCCTAGAATTAAAAATTATCTACCTACCACCATTACAGTAATACAGCATTCTGTATTTGTGTATATATTTACCTTTACCACCGAGTTTCATACTTTCTTATGCTGTTGTATTGCTGTTAGCACCCTATCATTTCAACTGGAAGAACTGTTCTTTGGGTAACCCTAGAGATGTTGGGGTGTGGGATGCACGGATCATTTCTCTCCCTCTGCAAGTTGGGGTTTCTCATCTCTTTGCTCTGTGCTGAGCAGCGGGGAGGATCTCTGGCACCTAACAGCCCACGCCACCACCTCGGCTCTCACCTGGCACCACACTGTGCCAAGCCTGTCAGCGCTCCAAGAGTGGCAAGACAGAAGCCAGTCCTCTGGGGAGCCCCCTTAAAAAATTGCGGTGCTATATGCACAAACCAACCCCTTCCTTCCCCTGGGAGAGGCTGCGAGCTAGTGGTCTCTTCCTGATCACACGGTGCTATGCTGGGGCCAGGGTCTCCCTGCTGGCTTCAGGGAGTCTAGTTTCACGTTTGCTCAAGGTGCAGGAGCCTTTCAGTTCGTTTCTGGATTATTCCCACAGGGACTTTGTGAATTGTTGCTCAGTCAGTGTCTTTGTGGGGACGGAGGGCTTCCATGCTAACCTGCTGCTGTCACTCACCTATTTTTTATCTTAAGAGTAGGAAACTGGAGCGTCTGACTCCAAAGCCCACCCTCTTTCGAGCACACCGCAGTTGCCTGTTGACTGAAACTTCCCCGATTGTTCTGATACGAAACATATCACTACTGAGCTGCACATGGAGAAAAGGAATGACTGGAGCTATGTGCTTACAAATGCCAGATGTCTCGCCTCTACCCTCACATGTGTAATACACACATGCACGTTATAGCTTCTGTTCTGTCAACAGTCCAGTAAATATTAGGTAAATTGAAACCAAAATATCCTTTTATCAGTAAAAATGCTTAAAATAATAATGCAGATTATGGAAAATGAAGTCTATCAAACATAATGGGACTTAAGCTTTCAAAGGGCAAGCTTAGTGATTGTATGTAGCACTTCAGTTTTACATTTAATTCCACTCAGTAATTTCGATTCCAGGACTTTGCTTAAGGAAATAATTTAATATGTGTGCAAAGAATGTTCATCATATAAGAGTTTTTCATTTTCCTTACTATAAACAATCTAAATGTCCAAGAATATGGGATTGGATGAATAAATTAATGTAATGGAATCGGCCACTCAGCCATTAACAATTATATTATAAATGGATATTTGTGGACACAAAAGATGCATGTATTTTCAAGTGCAAACAGCTGAAGCACGTGCCATTGGGCAGCTACAAACAGGATGACGGGTGCTCAAAGTGTCCCATTGAAATCAGAGGACTCAGAGCTGAGACCACCCCCTCCCCCGGCGTCACCCAGCCGGCCAAGAGCTCGCTTTCAGAGAACTGTTGACAGGTTAGACACACAGCAGTCCCTAAGAATCTGGCATAAAAGTGCTTGTAGTGCTTGGGGTTTTACTGTAAGGAATCCTAGCCCTTGTCTAGCTCCACACACCGAAATGTGGACATCCTGCTTTCCAGCAGCACAGGTGGGAATAGTCATGCTGCCGTGTTACCTCCTTCCACTTAGCGATTCGTGTCACTGACGCTTCCCCGTGACCTGCCAGAACGTTCCTGGGACCTGAGAACCATCTGCTGACTTTGCTAATACATAGGCAGGACTAAACCTTGCTTGAAACAGGAGGCAGAGTCTGTCTATTGGGTATGGCCTAGACGTGCTTTTACTGCTTTTTAGACCAGTAGTGGTTGTTTTTTGCCAGTCCCTAAAATGCCAGGTTTTGTTCAAAGGAACACGTGCCTTAAGCCAACATACCAATCCCCTGGGAGTGCAACATACAGAGACCACGACCAGCACACTTGTTGAGAATAACAAGGGCCAGGCTTTGACCTTTTCCAGCTTGTTACCTATTGAATTTTCTATCTGCTGCTTTTGTCTTCCTAAAGAACATGTGTGAATCAGAGAGAAAGAGGGAAATTGGACCTGCGCCTCCTGGGTCTGCAGTCCTAAGCCCTGGGTCCAGGGTAGGGGAGGGAAGGGGCTGACGAATGGCCCAGAAAGTGAGCTGAGGACCAGCAGCCTTCGGAACAAAGCTGTGTTCCTCTCTGTTGCAGAGCCCACGTGAGCAGGCAGCCTGGGCATCAGCACCCACTGCCGGCAGGGGCTGGACGCAGGCAAGGCGGCTGGTGCCCGGGGCAGCCAGGGAGCCTCCAGGTGGTCCCCGTTTCGCACAACCCTTTAAGCAATTGTGAGGAGCCGCCATGAGCTAGGCTTCGTTCTGGGCATTCTGAAGGTAAAGATGATGAAGACATATTCCCTCCCTTTAAAGAGCTGGCCTGGGACAGGGGGGAGAGAGAGGAAACCACAGCTTACAGTGTGAAACAATCAATTCTGTACCCCAGGCAGAGAAAAGGAAGCGGTGTCATGGGAACACACAGAGGGAAGGGAGCGTGCCCACTCCTGCGAGGAGAGGTGGAGGGTCAGGGCAGGGAAGGCTGTACAGAGACGGCCCGTGAGCTGGTCTGGAAGGATGAGCGGGAAGTCTTAGGAAACAATCTTTTTCCCATCAAGCGGGCAGGCAGCACATGAGAGCAAATCTTCATAAATGACTCTAAACACATCATCACCCAAAGCCTTAAGCCCACCCCCAGCCCTTTCCGTGTCAAGGCCTCAGCGTGTCTGTCAAATGGACTAGCTGACTGTGCCATTGCCAGTGTTATCTGGAGCGTCCTCTGAGGACAGGCGGATTCATCAGAATGAGACGGGAGTCTCAGCATAATCGTTCCTTAGTTCGCTGTGACAGCACAGCGATAGCCAGCTGCCCGATTTTAACGTCCGTAAACCTAGCTCTGATGTCACCAAGACCACAGCAGCAAACACCGTAGGTTCTCGGCTCGCAGGGGCTTCTTGCAAACAAGCGGTTGTCCATGAGCCTCTGCATGGGCCCCGTGAGGCCCACAGAAACCTCAGGTGTGACCTTGGGCCTTATTGCAGTGACTGGAATGTTTCAAGTGGCTAAGTGGAAAAAAGTCACTCCCGTAGCGCTGCCATGACAAACATTTAACACTTAAACTGGAGAAGCAGGAGGCCGTCGTGGGCCCCCTGGCCCCCCCCCCCGCACTGCTCAGCAGGTGGGCGCGTCCTTCACCTGCCGCCTGCCCACAAGCAGGTGTAAAGCGCCCGCCATTTGCTTTAGGGCGATCATGGGTACACCAGACGCAGCTACCACTGGCAGAATCTCTGACCACGCAATTACATCTTCTCATCATTTTAATAAATTTCATTTCAACGTATGTTTTAGAAAATGGAAATGACTGTGGGGAAAGAATCGAGCACACGTTTCTTCTATCACCACATTTTCTTTTCATCTCAAAGGAAAGGCTTATTCAATTTTAAAACTGAGAAATAATTTTTGAAGCTTATTGCCACTAAATAGCAATATATTTCATCAAATTAAACATTTTTTATATTTTTTAGCTTGAATTAAATCACCAAAATTCCTTATGTTATTATGAGCATGTATTGTTTTGTCTTATGGTTAGTTTCTTGGGTAGAATGTAAAGGTATTGAAATTTTTTATTTTTAAATAAGACCATTAAATATGGTCGATAAGAAAACTTTCTGTTGTTCACCTGCAAAGAGTGTACTTGAAAAGAGACTGATGATTGATTGAAACCTTTTACAGTTTCAAATTAGGAAGGAAATTAGGTTTTCTATGACATTAGGTGGTTCTGCTAACAGAAGACGAATTCCAAAGTAATTTATATTAGGAGGCCACAGGTCCAGTATTCCCTGGTTTAGAGGCGATAGACGCACAGAATGTGTTTGAGTTGGAATGTGCCAGGGTTGCTTAGTCTGAGTTGTGAGAAAGCCAAAGCCTGGAAAGATGAAATAACGTCTTCTTAGTTTGGGCTTTCAGCCATCCCTAGGATTCCCCAGCACATTGTGTCGCCTGGCATTATCTTGTCACCACCTTTCCTTTCAGCTTTGTGTTTTCAACCATGAAAAAAATCATTTTGTTTAGTGACAAAGTAAATCTTCTCCATGGCTGAGTTTGTGTGTACTATTCCCAGCCAAGACCCTCAGTCAGGGTTAGCCGGCCGCTCCGGGACCTGGAACAGGCCTTCTGGCACCACTTCACCCCACGCCACCCTGGGCATCTTGGTTCTTGGTTCTCCCTGAGACTGTAGAGGACAGGAGTCTGCAACCCAGACCGGGCTGGGCAAGTGTTTCTCGTGTCTGCAGAGATGTCCCGTGACCTGGGGCCGAGGACATGCACGGAGCTCCAGTGGCCTCGGTGTCGCGCTGCAAGTTACACGCACGTGGCGTTCAGATGTCCTTCCTGAGGGAGGGACAGAAGCAGACTTAGAAAACTGTTTAAATATTCCAAGGCTAACCCGTTCTGAATTTTGAGATAACCACGCATAATTCTTTCCGCTTCAGAACACTACAGATGAGGCATAATAAATACGCCGAGAGGGAAATGAGCCAGTTGCTGAAACATGACTACGTGGAGCTGCTAATAGATTACACAATGGCACTGTCGTCATGTCAGTGAAACACATCCAACCTCTTCCAGATATTTTTTTCTTTTCCTACCATTTTCTGTTCCATAATTCTGCTGAATCTTGTCCTTTTCCCCAGACTTGAGGTGGGTCACTGGGGTTCATTTCTGAAGCACTTTTATTCAGCTCCTGGCGGGTGGGTGCGTCTCTTCTCTCCTCTTTTTCTCACCTTTTCGAGGATGAAGCCTAGATGAGATTGATGGGTACTTGGGGGGAAACCATTCCTAGTTATTGCTCCCTGCCAAACTGCTAATGGCATGTGCTTTGTTGTCCTTAGGACTACCAAGAGGCCTCCAATTTGGAACAATTTGTAACTCGGTTTTTATTGAAGGAGACATTGAATCAGCTACAGTCTCTCCAGAGTTCCCTGGAATGTGCCATGGAAACTACTGAGGAGCAAACCCGTCAAGAAAGGCAAGTTAAGCAATTTCATGTTTCTTTAGTGACTGTGTTTATGGAAGACCAGTCAAGGGGTGTTGTACTTACACTAGTGAAAGCTAAAAATGAGAACGAACAGATTCACACAGGACAGGCAGGGCCCCCACTGGGTGCTTGTATCTGCCTCTAAAAGGACCGTTTTCCTTCTCCTCTTCCTGCATGTCATGTCTTCAACGAATTTTAATGGAGAATGTTGTAGAATAGGAAGACTTTAAAGGGCACTGTGATGATATGAAGACATGTTTCACATAGTCCCAATCCTTAGAAGGCTAACGTCTGTTCTGTAAATAAGACGCAAACTCTGAAACTGAAAAGCAGGGTACACAGTGAGAAGCACTATAGAGAAGGGATTTCAGAAGGTAAAAGATTAAATATGGATAGCAGGATGAAAGACAAGTTCATGGTGTTTCCTGATGACATTTGAGCTTATCTTGTCAATGGGGATAATTTTTAAATGTGGAGAAGATGGGAACAAGCCTTACAGGCTAAGTGAACGTGGTGGATCTAAGGGGGAGCCTGAGAATTCAGTAAGCCTGATTATGGAAATGGGGAAAAGTGCATGATGAGAAAGGATTTCACAATCCAGTACCAGCAATAATATCACTGAGAAGATAAGGAGTGATATTATAACAGTTATGTAAAAAAAAGCACCAATGCTGAAGAGAAAGCTGAGTTAGAAAGGTGTAAACGAGATACCAAAATAATACCAGCCAACAGTTGGTGCTTTCTTGAGTTGTCATCGTTTCGAGAAGAGCTTGGCAAAACTCTCACTTATGCAACATATTTTTGCAAGTGTTACTTTAAACCTGTAGATATGACTTATCTAACTTTTGCATTTTGAATTAGGGGGAACCACACAGTTAGGTTTTTGAACAGGTTAATAATAGACTGCTCTGTAGGGTCGATTTTTCTAAACGAATTCATGCATACGTAATTATTAGGACATGTCAGAAAAACTGGAATTTTCAGCCGTGTGTTGACAGTGTTGTGAATGAGTGAGCACCACCAAAATCTGACAAAAAACAAAACAAAACAAAACCCTGTAATCTCAGCTCTCAGAGCTCATGCACCTGATGAACATGGGTGTACGCTCCGGGACGGCCCTGTGCAGCATTTTCACGTCGTAACGCCCTGTGTTTCACCGCATTGGGTGATGCCATAGCAAATGGCAAAGTGTAAAAATTGGCTTCAGAAAGGCAACAAGCCAGTTCTCCGGGCCTGGGCAAGGATAAGTGAATGTCATGAAGTGAGACTGATTTCGTGTTCCTAATGGAAAAACAAGGCCTGGTGTGTTGCTTCTGTTGTTTAGACATTTTGGACATAAAATGGATTTTTTTTAGAATCAGTCATTTGTCTCCTGATAGGAGGCTGAGAAAACACTCAGCTTCCCATGCTCACCTGCCTGCCCTCTGGGTGGTTTCTGTAGCCGCCTCCTGCACACGGGCACTGGGCACGCGTCACCATCCAGTGAACGGAAAGGGCATGACGGCTCTGCGTCGGCCGCAGGCTGGCCTCTGACTCTGTGACCGCCGCCAACAGCCACATGGCAGCTGCGTTTACTGACATGGAGCATGATCATGGAGTTTAAGAAAAGTAGAAGACACTAGAGAAATTAATGCATCTTTTCTGTCGAGGTTTCTAGCTCAAAAAGAACCTAGCAGAGTGGGAGCTACCACAGGTCTGATGTCAGTTTGGGGAGTGCCGTTGTGTGGTGTTTGCCGAAGGCACCAGGGATGCCCACACCCCACCTCAATCCACGCTTCTCCTCCTGGGGAGGTTTCTGGGGAGAAAACACACAGGAAGCAGAGAAAAGGAGGCATCACTAGAGGTTGTGCCCAGCGTCACGTCTCTGGCGACTCTAACTGACACTGAATTGGGCCCAGGCCTAGCAGGGCTTGTCTGTCCCCAAAGCTCTGTCTTCCTACTAGCTGACCACCAGAGCCGATGAGGGGAGCCCCAGGGTCTCCCCAGTGTGAAAAAGACAGGGCGGGGAGCTGGCTGCCGCTTCCCAC